CCGGGGTGCTGCAGAGAAAGCAGTCATAGGATCGGGGTGGGAAGCAACAGGTGGCTTAGCCCACCCTACCTCTCCCTCCTGCCTGAATCCTCCCACCAGCAGAGACGCTGCCATCACCCCTGCCCGTCCCTGTGAGCACACCCTGCAGCAGGGACAAGCCTGGGCCTCTGAGTGGGTGATGTGGTGTCCAGGGCTCCTGCTGGGGCATTTTGGGAAAGTGCTGCCAATGGTCGCAACACTGCCCCCCAAGAGAGGTGCAGATATCGTGTCCAGCCTGGGCTCACTTTGCTCTTTGGTATGGCAGGATTCTCTCAGCCTCTTCCCCACTACTCCACCTCACTCTTAGACCCCCCTCTGGGGAGAAGGTGCCGTGTCTAGTGAGGAGTACTCTAGGCTTTGGTCAAAGTCTGCAAGAGACGTGCCTGCAAAGTTGGGCAGTGGCCAGGCAGAGAGGCGGAGGTGGGCCTGGCCTTGCCTTTCCCTTCTTAAAACCCTCAGGGGCTCCCACTGCTCTTGGGTGAAGTCTGGCCTCACCTCTGTGGCTGCCTGGCTCTCCGGCCTCGCTCCTGCACCCTCTCTGGCTCCAGCCTCATGCAGCCTCTGCTGGCCCCAAGTTCCTGCCCCTCTCCCAGCCTTGGGCACACTGTTCCCTCTGCCTGCTCAGTCCTCACCTCCTCACCTTGCTCCCTCCTGCCAGTCCCAGGAGTTTCAGTTGGGTGTTGCCTCCTCCTGGAAGACTGCCCTGCCCACCACCCCCAGCCTCGGTTAGGGTGCCACTTCTGGAGCTGTCATGCTGCATGAGTCCCCGTCCTCGCTGCATCATCACCTATTCTACTTGTCTGCCTGCTGGTCCTCCTGCCCCCCACCCTGAGACGTGGGCTTCCTGAGGCCAGGGCCAGGTCATGCTTTATGTTTCCAGCCCCCATCCTGGGCACACGGTAGGTCATAACAAACAGCTGCTGAGTGCATGAGTGAGAAGAAAAGGAAAGGACTCGACAGAGGAAAGGCCAGGGAGTTCATAGGGTCCCTGCCCACGAGCAGATCTGAAAGAAGCCAATAGTACCCCCATCACGTGGGGGCCCGGAGCAGTGCTGGCTGCCCTGGTCTCTACCAGCCCCCTGGTGGGTCTTCCAGGCTCCAGAACTCCACCCCCACCCTGTGCCCAAGGAAAACAGCCTGCAGGAGAGGAGGAGAGAGGAGGCGGCCCAGGAAAGCTCCACAGGGCTGGGCCCCTCAGTCCTGGGTCTCTTTGAGCCCAGGGGTGGGGTCCTCATGTCTGTCTTCCAGGGCAGAGGGCTCTGCACCCTGCCAGGGCACTGGCACGTTGGCAAGTGTAAGGAGAAGCAGACATGGGAACACGGGGACCCTGGTTTTCAAGAAATCACTGTGGCCAGTCCGGCCAGGGACAGATGGCTACCTGTGGAAAGCCCATCGCCCCAGCCCCTGCTGGAACTTTCTCCGTCCATCCTCCCAGCCTGCCCTATCCCCAGCGGCCCCCAAGCATGGCTGGCCCAGCCCTCAGAGCTGGGGTCCCCCTAACACAGGGGCTTCCCTACCTCGGAAAGTCACTTTGGCGATGCGGTCGCCCCTGCCCCGCAGCTCCGAGACTGTCTTGAGGTGGACGAGCAGGGCCATGCCGGTGTGGAGGGCCTGGCGCTGCGGGGGAGCAGCGGGAAGGAGCTCGCAGGGCAGTGCACACGCCTCCCTCCTCTCCTGCTCTCTGCCGCTGCCTCCTCCTCCTCCTGAGGCCCCTGCGATGCTGCCCACAGAGACCAAGGCAACTGAGCGAGCTGCTCCTTCCAGCGACTCACAGCCCTGCCAGCCCCCGCCCCTCCAAGTTGTCAGCCCAGCGTGTGTGGATCTGTGTGTGTGTGTGTGCGCGCGCACGTGTGGTGTGCGCTCAGTGTGCAGCCTGGGAGTGCAGGCAGAGTCGGAATCCATTATTCAGCAGCTGCCGGCTCCCAGATAAAGCCCCGTCCAGCTTCAGGTGTCTTCTCCCAGCGCCTGGGGCAGAGGCTCCCGGCCACCCCTCAGCAGGGCTCTCTGCTCCCTGCTAAGCCAGCTCTGCCACCAGGGGCCCGTGGCACCCCTCCCACAGGGGAGCCCAGAGAGAAGAAGGAAATGCTCTTGCCCACATGCCCCCCAGAGACTGTGCCCTGAGAGGCCGGGTCCTGAGCTCCTGACTCGGGATCGCTGTTTCTGAACGTCGGGAGGTGGAGAGGGTGGAGCTGCCCCTTGAGGAAAAGGCCAGGACCAGGCTACGCATGACAGGGATGTCTGACTGTGGAGGGCGCAGAGGTTTAAGTGCTACCAGGAGCCATGCTTAGGATCCGGGGCACTACCCTAGCCTGGGGGAGGTGAGACAGGCTGATGTTTGGTTTCCAGCGAGAGGAGCAGAATCGTCCAGCCTCCTGCCCTCATGAGCTGCTGGGGGTGGGAGAAGGGATGTCCGTGCAGGGTCGTCTGTATCCTTGCTCTCCATTTGCTCCTGGGGGAATGCTTCCCACCCACCCCTGCCTTCTCCCCTCGACTCAGCTCAACAGGTGCCTATTCCTGGGGCGGCCTCTGCACCTGCACCAGGCTGGGCGGGGGACCTCCTCTGTGCTGCTCCTGCGCCTCTCGTCTCAGGGGTCCTGGCGCTGCTCCACTTGCCTCTTCCCCCCACCCCAACTCTGTGGAGACCCTGGAGCACAGCCTCTCTGTATCCCAGGGTACCCTATGCATAGTAGGACACCCAATTAATGTTGATAGGATAAGAGGGCAAGCCCAGTGACCTATCTGAAATAGACTCTAAAGGTTTAAAAAGAGAAATATGAATTTTTCATAGCATGATAACAAGAGATTATCCTCTCAATTCTACAGTCCGAATAAGTCTGAAAAACGTGCAGGGTGTCCCAAGAGCCTCTTCCCTCCTTCTAGATGTTTCCTAGCTACTTTGCCCTTTTTTTCTATTTCTGTTTTTTCCCCTTCTCCCTCTTTCCTCTCCAATTCCCTGCTCACCATTCTCATATTTATCTAACCATATTAAATTAAAGAATATTTTAGAATATTGTATTTATCGAATACAAAGGAATGTCTATTGTTTTAAAAGACAGATAAGTTTAATGTCTCTTTAAAAAGAACCTAAATTCATTGACATTTTCCATCCATGAGGTTATCAGGTGATCTGTGTTTGTAAGGCTTGGTGGCACCTGATAGGAAAAAAAAGCCATCTCTTCCTTAGGCCTTCTAGAGCTTCTCTCCTGAAGTGGGTGGATTTCATGAGGCTTCTTACAGGCCTGTGCATGTTTAGGAAAAAGACCATGAATCCACCCTAGCCAATACATTGAGCTTTGCTGAACCTCAGTTTCCATATCTATGAAACGGTAGCAACTCCACTCTGCAGGCCGCAGCTGAGTTAGCTGGCCCTTCCGAACCCTAAGCCAGGTCCTGCTTTTCAGCTTCCATTCTCCTGACTAGTACCCATTTGAGTAACTTGTAGTATGTAATTTACTTAATGAATGTTTGCTGAATTCCTTCCAGGGCCAGGTGCTGGGATTCAGGGATGAGCATGACACGTACAGCATCAGACCCCAAGCAGAAGGCGCAGGTGGACTGGAACGCAGGCAGAGCAGCAGCGTGTGGGGCAGGAGCACAGAGGCTGCGAGGCCCGAAGGGGGCAGGGAGTGGCGCTCACCCCCAACCCCGGCCCCCGCTGGTGGTCGCTGGAAAGCCTTCCTGGAGTATGTCACCTCTGAACTGAGGGTTGCTCTTTTAACAACTTTTGCTGATGTTTTTCTGATGGTAGCACCTGTTCCCCAAGGAGATTTCGGGAAAACACAGACATGGCTGAATTCTGAAGGACGGGTGGTTTCCTTGCACCGAGTCTGCCACCACTCCTTCTCCTGCAGCTCCCTTCCCCGCCTGCCACCTCTGCTGCTGCTTGAGCCCCGTGGAAGCCTGTGGCTCCCGCAAGTTCATTGTCATCTGTCAGAGAAAATCTGTGGAGAGTTCTAGCAGCAACAGCATCCTGTGAACTCATTAGCGCTTGTGGTCTTCATCAGCTGCCATCCGAGGAGTCAAAGCGTGAAGGCGACACTTCTCTGCCTCTGACAAGGGAGGGAAGAAGTGGGAGGGAGATGGAGGGAACCGCAGCGCCCTTTTAACCATAGCAGACTGCTGCAAAGGGAGGCAGCGGCAGGATCTGGACCCAAGTCCCAAAGAGCGTGGCTTCCTGGAACCTGTCCCCACCACCCTCATCCCCCAGTGAAAAACCTAAATAAGGCCCTGCCTTGTCCTGCATGCCACCAAGGCTGGTGTGAGGGTCACTGGGGAAACCAGCATGTGGGGAGAGGCGTGTTACACAGCAGACCTCACATGGGCCCCTGAGAGGTTTGCTTTCTGGGGCAAAGGCCAACCCTACAAATTTTACAGCCAAAGTGAACCGTAGAATTGGGGACAGATGTAAATCACACACTCAGCCTTTTTTGTCCCTTATAAAAAGTACTCCTGTGGAGTAGTTTGAGGGGCAAGATGAGGTGACAAAAAGGTTCCTGGGGCGAGATTAACAGGAAAAATGCACCTCTCAACACACACGTCCTAGGCAACCACGCTGAGCCCGGCCCAGCGCAGAGCCCCTTCCCGCGGTCCCCACGGAAATGGGAAGCGGTAGCAGCCTTGGGGAGAGATGGCTCCTGGGGCCACTTCAGTTCCCAGGCCTGAGCCACAGTGGGGCAGCTGATTTCTGCGTCGCCTCTGAAGCCAGGGCCACGTCGCTGCAGGACGGATCCAGCCAGGCCTCTCCACCCAGTTTCTACCTCCCCGCACGTGGGAGAGCGGAGGGCTGAGCCCTCACGCGGCGATGTGCAGGGTCGCGCAGCAGAGCACGTGGAGGCGTGGCGGCGTCTCTCAGCGCCCTGCGGGGCTGCTCCAGGAAGGGGGCTGCCGGGAGGGTAGAGTGCCCTGGAACGGGAGGACCGCTCTGGGGCAGCTTGCGTTGCCAGGTGCCAGGCGCGCCGTTGCCGGGTGACCCGCGAGCTGTTTATCGTGGGGCGCGGAGCCACTGCCCCGGGTTCGTCGCGCGCTCGCCTCACCCACCATGGCCTCCCGCAGCGCGGGCACCCTACTGACCGAGTTCAATGCCGCCTACGTGCCCCCCAGCCTCATGCCCGGGTAAGGCCGCCGCGCACCCCGGCCCCACCGGCACCTGATGGTCAGAGCCTGGGATCTGCCCCTCCCCCCACCCCCCACCCCCGCACGCGCCCCCTCGGCGGTCGGTCCACTCTGCTGCCCTGCACTTTGGGGTTTGCGCTCTCTCAGAGCCCGCAGTGGGGGCGCCCGCGGGGTCCCTGGTGAGCAGAGTCCAACCAGCCCGGGATAACGGATGACATGACCGGACCTCGCGTGGATGCGGCGGGGATGGGGAGGAGGTGGAGCCGCGGTGTGGGGTTGGTGCTTGGAGGAGCCCCTGGCCGGCAGCCTGGAGCACACGCGGAGAATGCAGGCAGTGCCTGGAAAAGCTGCAGTCCCTTGCCGTCCCCAGCACAATGCGGGCACCCAGGATTCGCGCAAGATTAGCATGTGTTGGCTGAAGGGGGGAAGGAGACCGGTGGGCTCTTGCTCGAAGAATCTGGCAAGGCAGGACGGGCAGTTAATGGTTAACAGAGCACACGGTGTGCACTATCCCCCGACTGTGTGGACGGACCTTTCACTGGCCTCACTTTATCCTCTCAGAATTTTGATTTTGAAAGCATCCCAGCCACCTGCTCTGAGTGCTGGCTTGCTTGTGGCGTTTTCAAATGATGGGTCACTCTTACCTTTCTTTTTCTCTGGATGTTTCCAAACTCCAAACATCTAAGATGCAAGTCTGACTGTTCCCTCCCACTCTTTGGTCCTTTATTCTAAAATGTCTGATATCTTCACTCCCACCTTCCTCTTCCAGGGTGTAAGATTGCTTTCTCTCTCCTACCAGTCAGCATGGGTATGAGGGCACCAACTGGATGCTGAGAAGGACCCTGAGCGGTTTCAGCGAGTGTGAAGGGAATGAATGAACAAAGTGAAGGTCTTGAGAGCTCTGCCGACAGGGCCTCCGAATGGATGAAAAAACCACATTGCTCTCTCCCGCAAAGGGAACTGGCTGCAAAATGAGGAAAAGACTTCACAGTACATTTTGTACAAAGTTTGGATTGTTTTGAAGCAGAATAGGCAAGACATTGAGGAGCTATAAAATTAAAACCATTTCTGGACAATGTGCATGGGGGAAGTAGCAGCAGCTAGGGCCTGGTGCTATAGTTTTAACCCAGCCCGTTTGTGAGCAGGACCTTTCTCTGGGCCTTAGAGAGAGCTCAAAGCTACTTCGGTTTGTTCCCATCAGACAGATCTGATTTACTAGATCATAGCAGTTTCTTGAAGCCAAGCCAGGCATGTTAGAAGAGGTGACTTAGGATTTGCCTGTTTTTTCATTCATTTAGACATTTGATAATGACACGTCGAGTGCTCGGGATGGGCCAGCTGTTGTGTTAAGATGCTAGGGAGACAGAGACAAACAAGTGAGGGCTGCCTTTGAGGGGCTTCCAGTCTGGGGTTTAGTTTGAATCCATTTTGCAGCCTTGGACAGTAGTGTTCTGGGTGTCTAGCACGCAGTTTGGTTTTACACACTGATATTTTTTTTTCTTAAGCTTGCTACAGTCTCCAGTTGGAACTTCTTGTATTGTCTGACTCCTTGACCATTTCCTATCTGTGGGGCAAGGCCTGGAGCTCCTGTAAACCCTGCCCCCGCGAGTCCCCCACTCTGTCTGGCGGCCTGGGAGCTGCGTGTTTCAGGAGCCATCCCTAAGTCCCCTTTCTATCCTTGCCACTTGGTGCAGTTCCCGTGAGCACCCTGGCCTGTGGTTGAGTGAGAAATGGTGATGACAAGAAGATCACAAATAAGGCCGCAAGCCTGGACTGGGCTAGTTTGAGCAGTCGAGCCTGTATCTGCTGCTGTCTCATCTGGATCTTTCTGGAAGGGATGTGCTCTCCTTAAAGAGTCCCTTCATCGAGGAATGAATGGAGTCATTTTATGTTTCTAAACGCTATTTCTTTGGCAATTTTGTTAACTTAATGAAAGAATCCAAGATTCCCCACCATACTTGGATAATTATTATTTTTGTGTGTCTTTTCAAACATTAATCACAGGATTTTAAAGCGCAGCTAGTCTGTTCTGACACTCAAATCACCCCCCTTACCAGCTTTATTCATAAAGGCGGAGAATATTCATGCTGGGAAGGACCTCAGCCCCCTCCTGTTCCGGATGTGGTCACTGAGGTCTGGGGAGGGCTTGCCTGAGCCCCACACTGGTTGGTGATGATAGAGCTGGGCTGGAACCAGGTTCCCCGATGCCTGGTGATAATACCATGAACCCGGTTATAAGTGCCAACTATGTGCCAGGCACTGTGCTTGGCCCTTTACAAAGTTCTTTTTTTTTTTTTTTAATCATCACAACAGCCCAGATGATGAGTGAGCCCAAGGTCATTCACACGAGTGTGTTGTCAAGCCAAGTCTATGTGACTTCAACACCCCAGCTCACCCTGATATCTACCCCAACCCTCAAGTGGCCTTTCACACTGCAGGAGGGAATGGGGTGGACAGTAGGAGATAGACTCTGGAGCCACTCCACCTGGGTTCACTGGCTTCATCCGTTCCTTACCCTGGGCAACTTATTTGTCCTCTCTGCCTCACTTACCTTATCTATTAAATGGGGATGATAATGGTGTGCAGGTTAAAGATGCTTAAATTAGGCTGAGCGCAGTGGCCATGCCTGTAATCCTAGCACTCTGGGAGGCCGAGGCAGGTGGATCACTCAAGGTCAAGAGTTTGAGACCAGCCTGAGCAAGAGCCAGACGCTGTATCTGCTAAAAATAGAAGGAAATTAATTGGCCAACTAAAAATATATAGAAAAAATTAGCTGCACATGGTGGCGCATGCCTGTAGTCCCAGCTGCTTGGGAGGCTGAGGCAGGAGGATTGCTTGAGCCCAGGAGTTTGAGATTGCTGTGAGCTAGGCTGATGCCACGGCACTCTAGCCCAGGCAACAGAGTGAGAGTCTGTCTCAAAAAAAAAAAAAAAAAGATGCTTAAATTAGTTAATATGCACCAGATAATTGTTAGCTGTTACCATTAGTTGGGTCCCTACTGTGTTCAATGCCTGATTCTAGGCCCTGCAGGGAATAGGGCACAACAATGATGATGCTGGTCGTCAGACTAGTTAGCCTGGGTGCTCCATTTGGTCCCTTGCTGCTCCAGGTCCCAAAGGTCCTTGGCCTGAGTATCATCCCTGCCATGAGCAGGAACTCTTGGGTCAGAGTCTCTGGGACTGTAAGGCATTTGAAGGGGTAAGACTGGCCTCATTGAGAGTCTGAGCCTCCTGCTTGCAGGTCGGACCTGGGTGGCTTCCACATACCACCCAGCTTGCAGTGCAAACACTTGGCCTACCGTTGTGCATTCATTCATGCCCAGACTGCTACTGCGCCTGATGCCCACGGCTCCTGCCCAGTGGCTGTCACCAGCAGTGAGGGCGGGAGGATCTGCACCGCAGCCCCTGCCTCCATCTGCCTGGAGTGGCAGCTATGCCCACATCTGCCACTGAACTGGGCCTTAGAGTCCTAAAATCAGTGCATTCCATACTCACCATTGTCAGGAGAGTGGTCCCACAGAGGCGGTTGTGTCCCCGTCCCCAAAATCCCTGTGCAACACTCATGCCCAACCAGGGATGCTCTGGTACATGTTTAACAACCAGTTCTCTGGAGGAAAAAAGCCTTAATTTGTAGCATCGATCTGTCTCTGTGGTGTAAACACTCCTGCCATAGCTGATTTCAAGCTGTCAACATCACATCCCTAATCACAGAGTTGGGAAGAGACACACAGCAGCACGCCCTTACATAGCGTTTCCCTCACAGATGCAGCACGTGCACATAGCCTCAACAGTACAGACAATAGTAAAAGGTAGTAAAACAACCAGGGAGTCATGAGTTTTGAGTATTGTATCATCTTTGTTTATAATATGGTTATGTAATTGCAAATTTATATAATTTAATTTTTAATAGTAGCTTGTGTAACAACAGACTCGAAGAATGCCTCAAAACTTAGCAATCAGCTTTCTTTTCGCTGGTATAAGCCAGTATAGGCTGCTTGTAGCACGCCACTGCCTGCCCCCATGGCTTCCTCAGGCCCACAGCCTCCCTGCAGGAGGGTTTGGCAGTTGCATCTCCGAAGCCCTTTCCATTTCAACTCAGGCCCTGGCATTGGAGGTGCAGCCCCCAAACAGGCCAGTGCTGCCTGGAGTATGAAACAAACGCCATCTGCCCAGCAGGATGCAGGAGGCCCCTGTGCCCGGACTTTGGTATTAGAATCTCCTGGGAGCTTTAACAAACACCCAGGCTCAGGCCCCATCTGGAGATTCTGATGTCATTGGCAGTTTTTAATCCTCCCACGTGATTCTAAGGTGTGGCCAGGGATGAGGACGGTGTCTGAGAATCTCTAAGGCCCCTTTGCAATGGAGGACTGTTGATAAGCCAGCAGATGTGGGCCCGTTTCCTGAGCCATTGAAAGAGGGGTACTCCAGTGTGGGGCCTTCCCACCTGTGCCATTGTCCTGGGCACCCCCCACCCTGCCTCCAGGCTGAGAGGTGTGGCTGAGGGCACAGCAGTCGGCCACTCTCAGTTGGTTCTCATCCCTGCCTAGGAGGCAGAACATTGCCCCAGATTCAAGCCCAAGATACAGAAATGGAAAATGAATTCTACATCCCCTCTTGTCCGTCTACCTCCAGGCCCTGCCCCTGGAAGCCACCCCTCCCTCCCACTCCCAGGAGACAGCCTGGTCTCGGGCTCTCAGAGGGCCTTGGGCACTTGGGGGTCTCTGGCTACTGCTCTGCCTTTATCTGTTGCAGTATCTTCTCTTCCTGAGGATTCATAAGCCATGTCATCCTTGCATCCCCATCCCAGGACCTCTGGCCCAAGGCCAGACCCCTATCTCCTCTCTGGAATTCACCTCTGAGCTGTTTGAGGAAGCTGGGGCAGTTGTATAGGTAACTGAAGCCTCTCACACAACCTTGAGGAACTGAGGAGCCCCCTAAGGACAGGGGTCAGGGGTCCCTGGAGACCTGGGCTTTGTAACAGGGAACTTCCTTCTCTCCAGA